ACCTTTGAGAGATCAAAGGTTACCTCTCAAATGACTACACTTTCAAAGCTTTTTAAAACTTGATTTGTGTCATATAACAATTAATCTATAGTTAATCATATCACAATGTGTTAATAATTTTATTAACATAATTTTCACTCATATTCCAACATTTAAGTATTTATTTTATTTTATTTTATTTTTTACGACCTTAATTTTAACCTATTGAGTTTTAAAATTTAATTTCATATATTTGAATCTATTTACTTAGTTCAATAGCCTCTTTCACAACAATTTTATTAAAATTTAGCTAAAATCATCATTCAAATAATTTTCTAATATCAAAATTTTTTTTATTCCAAAAATTTACTCATAAAAATACTCAAAAATTATAAATTTGGTCTCAAGCCTGGAATTATTATTCTATAGCTATAATAATTTATTTCTCATCCTAAATAATCATCTAAACATCAATGAATCAAAAATAAAAAATCTACCTAAAGAGGTCTAGGGTTTAATCCAAAAGCCTGAAATTCAAATTTCATCAATAAAATAATACTTTAAAATATCTATTATACTACCAACAACCTCAATAATTAGATTTATTTATCAAATATTAATCCATCTTTTAAATTTTAGATTTTTCATAATCTCAAAATCTGAAATTTAAGAGAAAATATGACTGAAAAAAATATTTAAAACACTTACTTAATTTTAAAATATTTAAAATCTTATTTAAAATATCTTATTATGAATTTTTTCCTTTTAAATCAGCATCCATCGCCGACGGACGAACGCTCTTGCTGCACACGCAGAAATGAAAGGAATAGGGAATAGAAAATGAAGAAGAAAGAGAAGGGAGGTGTGAAATAAAGGGGTGTGGGTCCCACTATCCCTCTCCCTCTTTCTTCATTTTTTTTAATTATATATAATATCAAACTCACACTTCATTTTTTTTAATTATATATAATATCAAACTCACACACACCAACGGATTGCCGCCCCCATTCTTACTGTATTTCATTTTTTTATTTATTCCTTTTCCAACTTTTTCTTTTTTTTAATAATAACATTATTATTTATATTATTTTTTATTATAACTTAAGATTTTATTTTAAATTACATTCAATAATTCTCTAACTAAAATTATTTATTTCTAAATATTCTTTAAAATTACTCATTAATCCTTGATTAACTTAATTAATTTTGGGTTAAATTTTAAGATGTTACACAAATTTTTTCAAAGGTCCTTTATTGATATTCTCCCTTTTATAGAAAATAAAAATTAGGAACTAATAAGAACATTAATAATAATTACAGACTTTGAATTATTAAAATTTCAATAGCAAACCATGGTCCTTATTTACAATTAAAAATACAAATTATCAGTTAGAAAATCTATTAAAATTATTTAAAATTATTTGTAATGTCAGTTGAGAATTTACAAGAGTTTATTGTGAATCTTAATTTTTTGTTATCAATATATAAATAAATTACTTGTAAAATTAAGTAAATACACTTAAAATTATTTGTAATATTAATTAAAAATTTACAAGAGTTAATTGTGAATCACAAACCAATCACATTTAATTTTTTTCTATCAATATATAGATAAATTACTTGAAAAATTTAATAAATATACTTCATAGTATTTGTTATACCAGTTGATAATTTATGAGAGTTGGTTGTAAATCATAAGTCAATTACTTATAATTTTTTGCTATCACTTGAGAAATTAACAAAAAATACTTGAAAATTTTTGTAGTATTAGTTATGAATTTACTAAAGTTCATTATAAATTTCAAGCCAATCAAATAAAGATAATTTATTACAAATAAAAATTATGATATATTATTGAAATTTTAATAAGTCAAAGTTTTTAATTCTTATTAATATTTTTATGGGATCCCTAATTGTTATTTCCCCCTTTTTATATGTGTGTGTATGTTATTTTGGGAATCAAGTATTTCATTGGGAAAATAGTATCCAAGGATTACTGTACAAAATTTACATCCTTTAAGGATGAAATAATTTCAAAATAACTCTATAGTCCTCTGATCTTTCTAACATATTAATTTCATAAGTGATAAGACTGAAATGCCCCTCAAGTAGTTAAAAAACAAAAGAAAAGAAACCCTAATTGTCATCGGTGTTGCCCATCGGAATACCATTGGCGGCAGGGGCATTAGAGCCCTTGTTGCCAATGGGGTCGCCAGCGCTAAAGGTTCAACCACATTTTATTTGAGAAGTAAGGTTTTTAGGTAGCCAAAGAAGGGTTTGATCTCATGATCCTTGGCCATCTAAAAAGCTTAGTGGCTACCAAGCCCTTTAATAACATATGGCAATATATATATATATATATATAAGTGGTAAACCAAGCACAAAACTACTTCCATATAATAACTTAATAGTGTGTTGTTAATTTTTAAACAAAACTTATTATTTTATAAATATCACTTATTAATTTGACATGGACAATTATAAATTGAAAACTTCAAAACTTCACTCATTTTACTTGTTAAACGTCCTAATGTGTTGTTGTCAAAAACCAAACGGATACTTGTTAGTGAATGACTAATACATACAACTAAACCTTGTCTAATCAATTTTTCTAACTTGTTAAAACCATAATAGATTCTTATTAATTTCAAATAAATTTTTGTTATTTTACAAATATCACTTATTAATCTGATATAGATAATTATAAATTGAGGGCTTTAAAACTTCACTCATTTTACTTGTTAAATGTCCCAATGTATTATTGTCAATCACAAATAAATTATTATCAAAACTAAACGGATACTTGTTAGTAAATGACTAACATGTACTTACCCTTCCTATCAATTTTTCTAACAAATATCCGTTTAGTATTGATAACAAATCATTTGTGATTGATAACAATACATTGAGACATTGAACAAGTAAAATGAGTGAAGTTTTAAAGCCCTTAATTTATAATTGTCCATGTCAGATTAACAAGTTACATTTGTAAAATAATAACAATTCATTTAAAATTAATAAGAATCTATTATAGTTTTAACAAGTTAAAAAAATTAATAAGAATAATTTAATTGTATGTGTTAGTCATTCACTAACAAGTATCCGTTTGATTTTGACAACAACATATTCGTGATTAACAATAACACATTGGGACATTTAACAAGTAAAATGAGTGAATTTTAAAGCCCCCAATTTATAATTATACATGTCAGATTAACAAGTAACATTTATAAAATAACAATAATTTATTTAAAATTAACAAGAATCTATTATAGTTTTAACAAGTTAGAAAAATTGATAAAAAATGTTTAGTTGTACATGTTAGTCATCCACTAACAAATACCCATTTGGTTTTGACAACCTATTTATGATTGACAACAATATATTGGGACATTTAACAAGTAAAATGAGTGAAGTTTTAAAACTCTCAATTTGTAATTATCAATTTCAGATTAACAAGTGACATTTGTAAAATAATAAGTTTCGTTCAGAAATTAACAATACACCATTAGGTTACTATATAGAAGTGATTTTGTACTTAATTTATTACTTTTTTTTTTGCTATACATTATTAAAGGGTTTGGCCACCAAGCTTTTTAGATGGCCAAGGGACATGGGATCAAACCCTCCCTTGGCTACCTAAAAAACTTACTTCTTAAATAAAATGTCGCTGGCACCAAAGCTCCAGCACCGACGACCCCACCGACAGCAAAGGCTCCAGCGACCTTACCGCTGCTAGCGGTCTAATGGCTAGAGCTGGTGACTGCGGGGGTTTCTTTTTTTTTTTTAAACTACTCGAGAGGCATTTTAGTCTTTTTGCTTCTGAAATTAATATGTCAAAAGGACCAGAGGATTGCATAGTTATTTTAAAATCATTTGGTCCTCATGAGATATCAATTTTATACAATGATTCTTGAATTTTATTTTTCCTATTTCATTTCCCTCGAGTCTTGACTCTTCTACAAGGATAGACAAAGACTCGTGACCAAATGGGAGAAGAGTCTTGTGAACAAGTCAAGTGAAATGGGCATTAAACTTTGAACTTATCGGTGAATGCTTCAATACCAATCTAATCGACAGGGGCCGGCCTACATTGTTATGAGTGGAAGCTAATGTAAACAAGTGTCGAGTGTTCTATCATGAACTGACTGATTCTTCAAATTTACACCCCAGGCTGGGAGAGTGAAGAGATATTGAAAAGGATTGAAGTGTAAGCTAGAGGAATATGGTTCAATCTCATAGATATGTCATTCCTTATCTTGCTTGAATATCTTAGGATGTTCGGATTCTATGAGATGTTTAAATTGATTGATTTGAATTTACATTTAAAATATCACATGTAAAATCTATATATTTAAAATGATTTGTTTGAATAACATAAAATATTTCAGAAAAAGAAAATAAGCTAAATAAAATTCGAAGCAAAAATGGAGTGTTAATAGTAATGAGCGTACCCTATTCTTCAATCAACAATAAACAAGAACAAGAGATGAAAGAAGAAACAAGAATGACATAGGCACCGGCGGCGAAAAGGAAAAGAGGATCCCAATGATAGCTGGGTGGTTGGCTCCCAAGGTAGGTTCAGGAATTAATGACTTTAAAAGTGGGCCTGGGTTTACATAAACAACTTCATATTGACAAGTTCAAATGCCACTAGGATTCATTGGATAGTATGCATTTACTCAAGTTAGGAGCCGGTCTAAACCATCCTTTGCAGTGTGATATTGCAGAAGTTAGAGACCTTGTATTCTCGGATTGGGATGTACAAATCTTGTACTCGCATCATAAAGGTAATAGAGTAGCTGATTGGTTGGCTAAGGATGCTCAGAGTAGGGAACAAGACTTTATTGTTTGGAATGAACTTGTAATGGGCTATGTTGACCTATATTGGTTGGACAAGTTGATGTGTTTTTTTCTTTTCTTGTTTCAGGCTTCGTCCTGTCTTTTGTACCCCCCCTCCCCCAACCAAAAAAAAAAAAAAAGGAAATACAAAGAGAATGAAAGAGCAAGAGTAGATAAAATTTCAAATAATTAACACGTAGAAATTTCGAAGTTGTCAAATCCAAATCTCCATCATATCATATTCTACCATTCACATATCACGACCATGCACTTTGACCATTTCCTAGGAAGCTTAAAATGCATGAAAAGCCCACACACTAAATATAAAATTTATAGTATAGTACACTATTTATAAATCATAAACAGCCTGACTCATTATGCAAAGCACAAGACGAACTTAGTCCATGGCAAAGGAAGGGCCAGTCAAGTTCGTTCCTTCAGTCTAAGCACTGTTTCTCAGCATTATTCAGTGGCTCAAATAAATGGTCTGTTTTCCCATTACAATGAATGGAGCGTCTCTGTCGACTCAACCACATTACACTCTTCCATTTGGTGAAAACTGGATTTTTCTTCATTAAAGCACATGCAATAAGGATTGTTTGGCACATAAACTTGTTAATATAAAAATAAAACAAATATTAAATGTAATATGGAAAAATAAAGCCACTGCAGTATGCTGTATACCATGGCATGATACTTGGGTGATACATTAGAGCACCATTAGAAGATTCAGTTTATTGAACCTCTACCAGTATTCCATGCTTTGTTTTGTTCCAACCAAAGTCGGAGTAGGAGAGTGTGCATATTTTTCTTTGTTAGTTGTATTGAGAGAGTTTAAATTGACAAATATGGCTTGGTTCTTAGTTCTTACCCATGCATCAGATCCATTTACAGGCTAAAAAGTTGAGGAATAAAATGGCCTGAAAGCTTGTTCTTGCCCAGATGACTGTATGAAATGGAAATACGTGAAATGGAGATCAACTCATAAAAGGTAGTAATTGTTATTTTAGGACCATGAGGATATTGTTTACAATTCAACATTAGATGAATGATTCTCCCAAAGAACTCTCCTTGTTGTGTTTAACAGAAGAACCTCATAGCTAACACTACAGGATGGGCCACATTTTGGCAGACTTGATGGTCATAAGAAATTTCTTGTGTCTTTAGGCTAAGAAGCACGGATACCAAACACAACAAAATACCAACACGAACAGCAGACTATGTTTTGTCCAACCACAATAGGATGCGCTGCGTCATGTCTAATACAAGAGGAAGACGGATACAAAATAAAATAAGAATGTAGCAAAAGCAAATTACCTACAACGTGTGTAATTCAGATAGCAAACCAAATTCTTCAGATAGCTGGCCTGTCAAATCTGGGCTTGGTAATTTTCTGAAAATGTTAGCAAGCAAGTTAATCTCACAACAGAAGATCCAGCACAAAGCAGGCAACTCCACAAGAACGTCCTTAGGAAAAACCACATGGAAGTAAAGAAAGAGTTAGTGTACTTGATTCCATCCCAATTATCATCACAAGGATCTCGACACGACCTTCTGGGAAGTGTGTTCTTCCAGGCATCCATAAGAGACTTTACAGATATGAACGCATGAAAATTACAATAACAATGTTAAGAATATAAATAAAAGTATCCAGATTTAGATTGCACTGAAAATACTCCATGTGCTACAAAATACAGGCCATGTCTTGCCCTTGTAAGACCTTGAATGCCAAGTCTTCCACAAAACATTGTTAAAGGCATCAAATCATGTCAACATCAAACACTTACTATCATAAAAAATAAGAACAGTCATGGAGAAACACCTTGCTGTGTCCTTCTCAAGATGGTTTTCCCTAGTGTGGAAGGTAATGAGTAATGACAGAAAAAAAAGGAGGGAAGATAAGATCACACATAGCAATAAAGGAAGTGGAAGGAATAAATAAAAGCATGCAAGAAGAAGCATAATACTTCACATCTTTGTTTGAATAAAGCTAGTGACAAGATCCTAAGATCAAAAAAGAATCATCCATAAGTACAGTACCATACATGACATGACCATTTTCATATACAAATTTACCTCAAGTGAACAAGAATTTCTTGCAGGCCACCACAAATGAAAATGCAGAATTTGTGATTCTGGAATTGAAATACATCAGTCACCAATAATCACCACAGGAGCAAATCCCATGCTGAAAATGGTGAAACCGATTCATATCTCTGACAATAATATCTCGCTGCACAATTTTGGAGATCAACTTCATAACAATGTGGCAATCTACACATATACGGAGATTTTTCATGATATGTATAGGACAACCACGTGGCAATCGTATCAGTCCAAATGCCAGAGCTAATCTTTCACTGTGAACCCACAAGACACGTGCTTTTTCAACATCCTTCATATCAAGCAAAACAACATTGATATTGGGTACGTATCCTTCCTTCCTAGTTTTCATGTTTAGCCATTCAAGCATTGCACTGATAAGTTTAATGTCGTGATGACAAGTGTTCCCAGCAGTAAAATAGTGAACCACACCTTGATCCTCAATCCAACTTAACCCTGGCTCCTTCCTGACTCTTTTTTTGTGCATAATTTTTCTAATAGAAGCAACACCGTCCCACCTCCTTGCAATGGCGTACATGTTTGACATAAGTATATGGGTTGCATCATCATGTGGATCCATCTCAAGCACACGTTGGGCACAAATTCTTCCAAGATCAATATCATTATGGATGACACAAGCACCAAGCAATGCCCGCCACACCATAACACTAGGCTGAAATGGAATTTCACCAATGAGTTTCACTGCTTTCTCAAGATGGCCTGACCTTCCAAGAAGCCAAACCATACAAGTATAATGTTCTATACATGGTTCAATGCTGTAGTCTTGCATCATTGACTTAAAGAGTGCTTGTCCTTTATCTAGCAGTCCTGCATTGCTACATCCAGATAGGACACCAACAAAAGTTAGTTTATTTGGTTTACAATTAGACTGTTGCATCATTTCAAATATATTTAGAGCCTCCACACCTAGGCCATGCATGGAATATCCACAGATCATAGCATTCCATGAAACTTCATCTCGTGTTCCCATCTTATCAAATACTATTCGGGCATCGCGAATGCTACCACATTTGGCATACATATCAACCAGTGAATTGGCAACTACAGTGTCCTTATCGTATATGGTTTTCACAGTTAACGAATGAACCTGAAGTCCTTGCTTCAATGATGACAAACTTGCACAGGCACGAAGAACACTAGAGTATGTCACTTCTGTTGGCTGTAAGGGATAAGCAAGCATGGATACAAACATATTTAGTGCCTTCTCGTCATCTCCTAACTGCACATAACCAACAATCAAGGTATTCCAAGTCACATCATTATGCTCAGGTGATTCCATAAATAATTTCATAGAGCTATCCATTTTACTACACTTGGCATAAACATCAATGAGGGTATTAGACACAAATACATTTGAGTCAAGACCAACTTTCAGGACACAAGAATGAATTTGTTCTCCTAAATTTAATGCAGGTAAAGTGGCACAAGCTTGCAACACACTAGCGAATGTAAACTGATTAGGGACAATGGCTGACTGCCTCAAACGCTGGAACAACTCCAAAGCCTCTCTACTTTTGTCACTCTGAGCATACCTTGCGATCATTAGACTCCAAGGAATAAGATCATTCTTAGGCATTTCCTCAAAAAATTGTCCTGCAGCGTCAAGGTCTTGGGACTTATTATACAATTCCAGCAATGCAAGCCCAACATAAAGATCCCGTTCATAATGAGTTTTCAAAGCACATGCATGAATACCCATGCCAAGGCGAAAGGCCTGTAGGCCAAGGCAGGACTTGAGCACCGCAGTGATGATGAAGTTGTTTAGTTTGTAACCCATTAACCTCATGTGGGAGAAAAGTTGTAATGAATGGTAAAAGCACTCATTCTCAGCATAGCAAGCTACCATGCCAGTCCAACTGACCATGTCCTTGTGAAGAATGTCATCAAAAACACTTCTGGCGACATCAACACATCCACAGACAGAGTAGGCATCAATAAGAGCGGTACCAACAAATGCATCAGAGTGATAACCAATCTTATAAATACATGCATGAATGGCGAAACACATTTGTGCGCTGTCCATACTGACAAGCAACTTGAGAATGGATGTGAAAACGAAGGGGTTAAGCTGGTGGCCTCCTCTGAATAACCTAAGGAATAAATCAAGAGCTGCAGGGAATTGAAGGGAGCGCATATAACCCTGACCCAATGTAGTGATGGAGACAGTATTAGTGCTGGGCATTTCGTCGAACAGTTGAGATGCATGGGACAAAGAATCAGACTTTACATACAGATTAAGAAGAACGTTAAATGCAAATAAGTCCAAAGAAGCCCCTGTTTTGATGATGTGACAATGAAGGCACTTTCCGGAGTCGTAGTCAGCGTTTCGTATACACTTTTGAAGCGTAGCCGAGTAGAGATGGGAATCGAACTGTACAGGAGCCGTGGATTGGTAACGGAGGTGGTGGGTTAATCGAAAAGAAATAGAATGTGCTGACACTGTGATACATGATCGTGTGGTATAGATGGTGGGACGGTACAATCTGATCATGCGCCACCACTATTGCGTACTGCAACTCCAAAATCGGGCCCGTTTGGTTCTCTGATATTGAGTATTTGGGCAATGGAAAGTAAACCAAAATGGATTGAAGAAACTATCCAATATTTCTTTCTTGCCGGAGAGATGATTGTCGCATATGATAATGGTGATGGTTTCCAGAGAGATGATTGTCGCATATGACCCGTTTGGATTGAAGAAACTATGGAATATTTCTTTCTTGCCGGAGAGAACCAAAGATAGGATGGTAATGGTGAGGTCGTGGGGCCCACAAGTGGAGGTGCTGAGCAGAGTTGCTATGGTGGGTTTGAAACTCAATGCAGCTGGAAGTCAGCGCTGGAGACGGCGGTGGCCGGTGTGCCGGTGATTGCTTGGTTGGAGAAAGAAGCCGCCAAAAATATAAGAAGCTTTTTTAAAAAAAGAAATAGTTTGCTGAAAAAATAAAATAAAATAATGGAATAACCTAACCTAAGGAAAAGTTAAGAAGTTTAAAAAAAAAAATGAAAGGAGAGAAAATAAAAAAAAAAGAGAGAGAGAAAACTAAAAGAAATATATTAAAAATTTTAATTGAGATTCAAAAAAATTTAAAATGTCACTGCATTGGGAGAATAAAATCAAATAATTTTTTAATTAAATAATTAAAATACCCCTTCAATTATAATTAACATTATTAAAATAACAAATTAAATTATAATTTTTATAAATAACATTACTAGAAATAAAATATACCAGAAAACAATAATATAGAGGAACATGTTTATATGCGCAACAGTGAAATAAATCAATGTCACTCCACGATTTGACCACAGTAAACGAAATATGTTTAGAAACACTTTGTATAAAAGGCTTTTATACCTTCATGGATTTAGATATAGAATGTATAGAAGAGAAACTTCTATATATCAAAAACTCTTGCAAGGTTTGGACAGATAATAGAAAAAAAGAGATTCAGAGCAAAGCCAAGTGAAGGCTATACTATGTGAGAATAACAAGAAAAATTAGACATTTTTATTGAGTTTATTCACAAGGCTATCATACTATCATGTGTTGGTGGTAAAAATATGATCAGCCACATCAAATCAGGTTAATGAACATTCATAGTAAAACATCATTCTTACCTCTTGCATTGAATATTGTGAGAAAAATTATATTAAAGTCTCATATAAGGAAGCCCACACTAATTAACGCGTAATTTTATTAATTTCAAATAAATCTCAAGGGACTTCAATATCATTTCTCGCATATGATGGATGACCAAAATGCCCTCCCAGTGAGTATCGTTATGGATGTGACAAGGTCATTTACATCATGAAACTTTTGCAGGATTTTTCAGACAGAGAATATTAAAAAAAAAAAAAAAACCTGAAAAGAAAGAGAGATCAGGAGCAAAATGAAACTAATCCTGCACCATGCGAGAATATCAAGAAAAGTTAGACATCTTTATTGTTTTTATTAAGAAGGTTATCATATGTTGATGGTAAAAATGTAAGCAGCCACATCAAATCAAGTCGTTTAAGAACATTAATACCAAAACAGCATTTCAACCTCTTACATTGAATATTTTATTTTCCCAGTTTCAGAACCCAGGAAAAGAACCTCATTGCGTTCATCCATTAAGTTCAAATTCTGTTCATATAGCTAGCAAATTGAAAAACAAACATTTATAGTCTCTCTTCACAGACAAGTATCAGCTATACAATCCCAAGACTAAAAAGAAAGACACATCAATCAAGACAGCCCTATGTTTAACCTGTGGCCTAGATACAAAGAAAAAGTTGATAAACAAGTTCCTTGCTTTATAATTCTAAATTGTACAGTTGACTTACTTAGGCATAATTTTTGGTTGCAGGGGTACAGCACCTGAATCAAAGCAGTCATTACTGTAAAGATTCTGAGAACTCCCTCTTGTCATTTCATCATAACTAGATGAAGAAGATGCTATTGATTCAGAAGTGTTGTTCAAACCAGCTATCTGCAAAATGCTTTCAATTTCTTTCACCACATCATTCATTGAAGGCCTGTCAGTACCTGTCTCTTGGAGACACTTCATTGAGAGATCCACAAAGTTCTCTAAACCCTTCAGTGTTGATTCTGAACCAATGACTGGGTCAAGAATTTCTTCAAGACCATATAACTCCTTTGTTGTGTCAATTGAATTCCTAACCACTTTCACAATATATTTCCCTTTTTCTATAGGTTTTCTTGCAGTTATCAGCTCCAGCATTAGTACTCCAAAGCTGTAAACATCACTCTTTTCAGTCAAACGCTGACTTGTGTAATAGTCTGGATCCAAATAACCCTATGTCAAAAAAAAAAAAAAAACAAGATCCATTCTCATCAATTTAGTCTAACAATGCATTATGGTATCTAAGAGATCTCTAAATATTAGATTTCATAACCAAAAGTAGAAATGCATTATTGGGGCTGTTTGTTTGTTTTATAACAAAAAGTTTAGGTCAGTTGATAAAGGCTCTCGAAGACCAGTGCATGCCTTTAAACTTAAAAAGTTTTTTGTACAGATCATTGACTAACAAGGTCCTTACATTGATAGCAAGATTTAAATCTATAACTTAGTAAGTTATAGGCTAAATTCTAACCAATTGGACCAACCTTTGTTGGTTGTTGGGACTGTTTGTTATTTATAATTTAATGGTACAATGAAGGATCCATCTTCAGTCAATTGTGGAATAGGCTGTCATCATCTTCTCACAACTAGTTCCGTTGTTTTCTATAGTGTAAAAATTTTTAGAAGGTACCAAACCTACCATTGTTCCTTTAATTTGAGTGGTAATATGATCTTTGTTACAATCAACCATAGTCTTGGAAAGCCCAAAATCAGCTACTTTGGCATTCAAGTTATCATCCAATAAGATGTTACTTGACTTGATGTCCCTATGTATGATACGAGGATTGGCATGTTCGTGAAGATAAGCCAAACCTTTAGCAGCACCAAGGATTACCTTTAGCCTTCTAGGCCAGTCCAATCTTAGTCCTGATTTTCCTGGATACAGTCACAGATCGCATCAGTGTTATTTGTAGAAGAAAAATACGCTAAGTCTATGATGTCCCACACTGTAAACAGCTTTTAGTTTTTTTCCGATATGTTAGTTATATAAAGTTTTTAGGACAAGGATTTCCTTCTTAATGGTCTAGCAGTAGGGATGAAAATTTTGGCCAGACTTGCTGGTATTCAATTTGTGCCGTTTTATTTGGATCAGGTAAGCGAAAGGTAAGGGAAAAAATTATCTTCATAATTCTCAAGTCTAAAACATTGCGATTCCCACTTGTTAGTTATACAAAATCTCTTATTGGCAGCTTTTGCGCCCAAAATCTGAACTGAGAATTTAAAAAAAAATCCAGATAAATTTTCAAAAGACACTAAAACTAATCTGTTTTGTAGGTATAGTGAAAACTGAAAAGTGAATAGAAATACCTGTGATAGTATCACAAAAAGTTCCATTAGTGACGTACTCATAAACCAGCATTTGTTCTCCTTGCTCAAAGCAGAAACCCACAAGGCTTACAAGATTCTTATGGTGGACCCTTGACAGAAGTTCTATCTCAGCTTTAAACTCAAGCCCCCCCTGCTTAGATTCTTTTTGAGCTCGTTTTATTGCTACTAGTTGCCCATTGGGAAGTGTCCCTTTATAAACCTGCTGTCAACAAATATTTGTCAAATGTGCAATTAAAGATATTAATTTTGACAATTAAAAAAATTCCTTGTGGTCTACTATAACAGTATTTGTGATAGTCATAGTTTAAAGTTGAAGGGATAAGCTGTAGAACCTCTAATCTTAAGGAATGTTGTTTGCATTTTGATCTCTTTTTCAACCAGCCATGTATTAAACCACAGGGAATTGAAAATGAAGATGAGAAATGACCTTTCCATAACCCCCAGATCCGATATCATTGTCTGGAGAGAAATTTCTGGTGTATTTCTTAACCTCTGCAAAAGAGAATTGCCTTACTCCTTTCAATTGAGGGCTCACAATTTTGTTGTCATCAGAAACCCATTGTCCTGCATATTATAGAATAAAAGATTTCCCAGCTCAATTTTATTATATTGTCTAGAAATTCTGAAGCCAAGTTTATGAATTTATAAATAAAATAAATTACACAAACCTTTCTTTATTTTCCAATCATATAAATGTCTCCTTTGAAACAAAAAATAAACTATACAGACCTAACTCAAGTTTGACTAAATTAAATAAACCTCTGCTTTATTTCTAAAATATATAGAGACTTCCTCTAAAATAAAAGAACATAGACTTTGTAGGTCTTGGAAGTATACGTGAGATTTACCATATTTCAACAAAACTCAAGGGAAGTGTGTGTAATGTACTCTTTAATTTTAGGAGATGTAGGTATGTTTCTAAAATAGATAGGAGGTCTATCAAATTTCAACAAAAATTAGAGGAATTATACGTTATTTTGAACTAAACTCACAGAAATTTTGTGCAATTCACCTCTTATAAATGATATCTTACCAAAAGGGTTGCTTTGAGAAATTGCCTTTTCTGCCCTTTTCTTTTGGTAGAAAGCATAAATGCCAGCTAAAAGTAAGAAGACCAGCACAACAGAACAACCAACAACTGTTCCGGTTATCAAAAAGTCATTTGATGATTTACTTGATCCCATAGGTTCTTCTTCTAAATGACAAGAGAGACAAATACTTTTAACTTGAAGCAATGTATAATAAATTTCCCACAAAAAGTGTAAAACAGGCTGAAAAAATAAATTACCATAGTGTTCATATGGGCATGGAGTGAAATCGAATGCATTAACAGTAGTCAGGTTGCTTAGCAGAGAAGCTAGACTAGAAATCTCAGTTCTGTTGAAATGATCTTCCCTTGACGGGAAAACTAGTAAGCTCAATTCAACATCTTGATGTTGATTCCAAGTCAGATTTGTCAGGCAAACTGAATCCACAGGTAGATATTTAGCTTTGAAAGCATCGTTTAGGCTTTGCCCGAAGGCAATATTTTGCCAGTCTGGGAAGGAAGGTGTTCTGAAACTTAAAATTCCCATGAATGGATATGCGCACTTGCCGTTTGAACTGAGATTCTGATATGATCTGCAGGTAACAGGAGGACAGGTACTTGGTGGTGGTGCATGTATTATGTCTGGCACATGAGAACAGAAACTTCGTTCTTCTCCCCCACCCCCATCATAGCAAATTGGATTGTTCACCAGTCTGAATAGAAAAATATGAAAATGTAAAATCTGATGTGGACTGAGAAATAAGACTCCTTTGAAGTAAACAAATTGCCTATTCTGTATACTGCTAGATAGGAAAGGAGTCAATAATCATTGAGATTTATAAGTTACATTATCGTAATGTTGGAGGCTAGATCTTGTTGCTCAA